TCCCCCCCCCCCCCCCTTTCCCCCAGCCGTGCACCACAGTCTTACCATGGGCTCACAAAAGGGCCGCCTTACCGACCACCACGCTGGGATGCCGGCAGAAGCCTTACGGCCCCGCTCCGATCAGATCAGGGCACCACCCGTTCGTCGCACCACCGACTTCTATTATTGCTGGCTGCGCCGGCCGGGGAGGCGGGTTCCATGCATGGAAGGTGAGGAGAAAGTGGGACAAGAAAAAGAGGAAAGAGAAAAAAAAGGAATCACTCACAGCAATACACATAGCCCACCACATCGATGCCACCTCCATAGAAGCTGATGAAGCAGAAGGAGAAGAACACCCCCATGGACAGCCCCGCCTTGTTGGTGGTACCAGCATACTCGGCTATCATGGCGGTTTCCAGGCACACCGACAGCATGCATCCGGTGAGGCCGGCGACTATATTTTAAGCGACCGCCGCCCTTTTTAGCCCTTTTGCCATTCCGATGGGTCACACAACAGAAGAGGAGGGGATCTCCTCCCCCCCCCTCCGAAGGAAGGATGAGAGTTGGAACACTTACGCAGAAGTGGTTTTCGTCCTACTCTGTCCAAGAGCAGCGCCCCAATGAAGTTGGAAATGGTCGCGACGGTGACATAGGCTGCTCCCAAAATCAGGGGCACTCCGCCGGTGAGTCCGAGATTCTGGTACAGGGATACAATGTATACTGACAAACCCCATCCCACCCAGCATAAGAGTCAGTGCAAGCTGAGACTTGACGCAGTGTAGCCTTGTTTTTGCTTGTTTTCTCAAAAGCCGGGCTCTAGGAAAAGCTTACCGTAGATGACCTGGGCACCCGTCGATTGTGCGGCATACTGGATGAAGAAACCCATCCAGAAGCGCTTCCGGTAGGTCTTGTTTGTGAACATGCCGCGCCATCCCCACTGCTTCCACGCGGCCGCGTCTACTCGCACCTGCTCGGTCATTTGGTAGAATTCCTCGCGCGCATATTGGAGGCCTGCTTCGTCCTCGGCTGCGCCACCGTGCAGCCGCCTGACGATATTCCAGGCCTCCTCGCGTCGGTCTCGGGTGAGCACTGTTCGGACCAATGTGAGCGTTTGGGGGGCCAGGTAGGCCATTTGTGCCCCAAAAAATGGTGACTTACGCCAACGAGGGGATTCCGGGATCCAGGGACCGCACATGGCCAACGCAAGGGGTGGTATGATGGACAAGGCAATGGGGAATCGCCACTGGAAGGAAAGGTTCGACGAGTAATACGTCCCAGCGCCCACCCAGCCGGCAATGGCGTATCCCAAGACAATCCAGGTGCCGTGTTGACCGACGAGAAAGCCTCGCGCGTTGGGAGGTGCTGGATGGACCACGTTAGCAGCAACACCCCACTGAATCTGGTTGCGAAGGGACATATACAGATTTCAGATTGCATAATGGGGATCAAGACCACCATCATGCCGATCCCGTACCCCGAAATGAAGCGCGAAACCAGGAACATGGCCATATTGACCGAGCCCGTCTCGAGGGCACCGCCCACGACGTTGACGGCCGACCCCAAATACATGGTCTCCTTTCTGCCGCGAGCTTCGCACATCCAACCCACATGCAGCGCCCCAAACAGTGCTCCTGCACAATATAGGCCATTGATGGTGCCGGTGATGGCGTTGGTGTAGTCCGAGTTGGCTTTGAGGTTGAAGTATTGGATGAAGCCGGGCTGTCCTATGGTGTTTGAGATGACGGAGAAGCCGTACCCAAAGGTAAGACTGCCCAAGGTCAGGACCAGGATGATGCGTAGGTTGTAGAAGGTGTATGTCCTAGCCATCTTGTTACAAGTACTGATAGCAAAAGAAGGAGATGGCGAGATGGGTTCATGAATGCTGCTTCTGGGGGGGACTTGTGGGGTCTCCACGCATTGATATATACATTGTTTCCATCTCCATACTGGGGGTTCTTCGCTAACATGCGACCACGATATTGTCGTGGAGAGACCTTGACAAGTCAAAGGTCTGACTACCACTAGGCCTTAGCCTATACCAGGCTTACTCGGTTATCCAGCCCAGATGATGGCCATTTCACCCGGCCTTGTGGCGACGCAATGGTAGACGGTGTTTTTGGTGCAGGGCTTCCTATTCCAGCTGGGTCTTTACGTATTGTTTTATTTTTTGTAAGGTACAGGATGGCTTTTTGTCACCTTATTGCGGGGGTGGACAGGGAGATGGTCTGCAAGTAACGAGGTACCAGATGTCGCCTCTTTCGCATTGCAGGGCGTGAGACGGTCGTGATGTCTTCCAGGGATTCATTGGAGAGAACAAGCACCGACCCTTGTCTGCCACCCCTGCATTGTTGGCGTCGTTGGCACCGTCGATCCTTCTCTCCATCACATTTCTCCAACTCTCACCTCGAAGGATCATTGCCGATATAATGCCATATGGCCAGGTCCCGAGGGGTGGAAACACGGCATGGTCTCTAGCGCTGTCAATGCGCATACGCACGATCGGTGCGAGTCGGGATCGCTGGGGATTATCCTAAACCAGAAGACCAGGTGAGTCGTTCTTCTGCAAGATCCATCCTTGCATCCAGAGACAAGGTGGAGGATGAACCGAGGGCGGACAATGGCCACAAAAAGAGGGGGAAAGGGTGGGTGTCTTCTTGTGTCCCCCTCTACGGCCACAATGGACGAGAAGAATGTCTAGGGACGGACCTTTCTCCTTTGACATATCGAAGGGGTATGCTCTATACTACACAGGCTTTGGTGGCTCTATTGAGATGCTCTCAAAAGGCACATCCCACCATCTCCTCACCGACATCAGGCGGTATGAATACCAGTAGCCTGACGGTCATCTCGGCCTCGATTCCGCCCCTTGGTCTTACCCCGACCTTTTCGTCTCGCCCACAATCACTATTCATAAGGAACAGCCCGTCTGGCCATTTCCCGGGACCATAGCCTATGACTGACGGACCCCCCCTTCTCACCCTCCTCCCAACCGCCCTTTCGCCTTTGGGGAGTTGCCGAGAAAAAAAAAAAAGACACAATGGCTCCACCCATAATGGACCAGCCGCATCAGACCTCTTCGACGCAGCGAGGGCGTCCTCGACAGCGCTCGGCCGTCGCTTGTACCTGGTGCCATGCCAGACGCGTCAAATGCAATGCCGCGGCCAAGGGGACGCCATGTTCCAACTGCGAGGCCGGTGGACGCCACTGCATGCTCATCGAGAGCAAAAGGGGCAAGAAGCGGAAAGTGTCGACTTCTCCTTCGGCCACTCAACGCGACCTGTCTAGTATTGCCCAGGCCTCGCCTACAGAGACAACCCCGGGCCATGGTAACGTCTACGATCCCCTCAAGGGTGTGAGGAACCTGCCCAAGAATCCCCAGGAGAGCCACAATGCTCGGACGGGGTCGACTTCAACGGGTGTCCCCGACAAACCTGATCTGGCACAAGACTCTCAGGAGACTCTGTATGCTCAGGTGCTTGACAAGGCGACCGACACCGGGATGCTGCAGCCGGATGTCAAAGAAGGCGTTGTCCATGTCATGTACATGGGGGAGACGTTCAACTTGACGCACCTGTTGCGCCAGACGAACCCCGACTCTGCGCGGTCTACACGAAAGAGACACTACGTGGTCCGGTTCAATCCCAAGAACCGGACGGCCGACCCTGTAGAAGAGCAGGAGGAAGAGGAGGACAATGTGCTTACGTCGTTTCTCCAGCATCAAGGCTGCTTCCGCCTGCCGTCCGTCCATACTTGCCACCAGCTGTTTCAGACCTATTTTGAATATGTCCATCCTCACTACCCCATCCTTGACCGCGAAGATTTTGCTGCGCAATACACTGATCTCCAGAACCCAGCGTCGTACCTCCTGCTCCAGAGCGTCCTGTTCATGGCCTCGGGACACTGCGAGCTGTCGGTCCTGCTCGAGGCCGGGTTCGAATCGAGATACCACGCGCGAAAGACCTTCTTCCAGCGCGCAAAGGCCCTGTACGACAACGACCACGAACCCAACAAGGTGACGGTCGTCCAGGCCGTGTTTCTGATCAGTTTCTGGTGGAACGGGCCCACGGATCAGAAGGACACGTGGCACTGGCTGGGCGTCGCCATCAGCCTCGCGCTGACGCTGGGCATGCACCGATCGACGCAACTCTCCGACATGAAACCCAAGGATCGGTGCCTGTGGAAGAAGATCTGGTGGTCACTCTTCGCCGAGGACAAGCACGCGGCGACCGCGCTGGGCCGCCCGGTCCACATCCGCCGGAGAGACTGTGACGTCGAACCACTCGAGATTGGCGATTTCGACGACGAACCGCGCGTCGCGAGAGCAGACATCTTCGGCCGCCCCGAACGGGTCGACGGGCTCTATGTCATCGCGTTGGTCGAGCTTTCCATGATCGCAGAGAGCATCGTCGAGAGCTCCTTTACCGCCTTCAACGCCACCACCTCGGACAATGCCGACATGTTTCAATCGTGCTCTCAGGCACTGGAGCAGTGGCGGTCGGGACTTCCGCTTGAACTGCGCATCGAATACACCAGCAACTGCCTGTGGACGAGCATGCTGCACATTGCACACAGGTAGGTATCTAGATATATTTCTTCCCCTCTCGCGCGGATATGATAGGACAGGAAAGGGAGTACTTGTCTTCCTAATCTCGTTAAATCTTTGTGTATCTGTTGACTAACCATTTTCTCCCGCGTGGGTGCGGGTGTTTGGTGTGTGAGAATAGTTGGTTCGAGATCGTCACGCACCGGTCCATCTCGCCGCAGAACCTGTCGCCGCCGTCGATGAAGACGGCGCACTGCCTGGCCATGGACGCCGCGAACCGCATGGTCCGCATCGTCGAGGAACTGCTCTCGCAGTCGCACATCCTGCACTGCCCGATCCACATTGTCCCCGCGCTCTTCGCCGCCATGGGCATGCAGGCCGTCGACATCTGCTCGGGCCAGTCGATCCTCGAGCAGCTCGGCGTGGTCAAGGTGCGTCTCGCCATGATCGCCCTGCGCGAGCTGCAGAGCACCTGGCCCGTCAGCGGCTGGATCTTCCGCCTCTTTGCAAAGATTGTCCGCCGCATCCGCCACGGCGACGAGCTCCTCCCCCACGAACCTGTCAATGCTTCGCCTCCCGTGCTGACGAAGATGAAGATGAATAGCCAAGATGTCGCTGCTGACAAGGGCGACCGTCCCGTCCCGCAGAGCCAGGTCGTCATTGACCAGCAGCACCAAGAGCAGCAGCACCAACAACAATCAATATTTACCGGCAAGGCTCAGTACGGACAAGGACAAGGACAGGACCCAAGCCTCACACCGACGACGACAACGACAGCAGCGTACACCATATCGACCACCCACCCCGCCGGACGGTATCTCTTTGCCGAGACATCCAGCCTGGCCATGCCCGTGAGCTATCCAGCAGACTGGGGAACCATCCTCGACGACGGAGCCTGGGCTGATTTGGAGTATGAGTTTTGAAAATTCAAGGGCAATAAAACACCCGGGGGATCGTGAGGGCCAAACACGCACAAAATAATATAGGTAGCCTTGGAGGACGTCTGTAGTACCTATACGATACAAAGGGACCCATACCTGAGGTAAGACCTGATGGTTATTGTGTCAGAATGGACACCAGAAGACACACACTCATACTCACATGAGAGCCAATCCCGGCACCATGGGCGGGAGTTTCAACCCGTGTCTATTCCTTGATTCCCCAATCCATCCATTCTCTTCCCCTCTTTAGCCTTGTGCAGCTGTATAGCACAGCATTGTTCAAACAAACCGAAACGCCGGCTGCCTAAACCCTGGCAAGGAACCCAAGAAACGCAACTTTTCGCTTGTCCCGTACAGCGCCCAGCGTCCACTAAATGCCCCCATCGATGGTAACCCGCACATAAATGGTGACCTAGTTGTAAATCCCAACAGCAACGTCTTTGTAAAACACGTATTGGCTTTTTGTATCCTGCACTCCTGCACAAACAAAATCGATCATAACCCTAGGTCTCCCAGGTCGACACGGTTGAACGAATCCCGCGTTCAGCATGAAATAATCTCGTCCGTCTCGAGAAGCGTCTGGCTCTGGACGTGATCGATAGGGAATTTCGATATCGCCAACTGATGCCGAGGGTTTAGCGAGAGATACTCAGTTCATTGCTGACCTGGCTCAATTCGCCCTCAGTCTTTACGCAACGGAAGTATGGTAGCCCCGTTGGACTTGGGCTCGGTCTCGACCTTCCCCGTCACGACTCCTTCCAACTTGGCGGTGATTTTGGCAAAGAGTGGTTCCAGCTTCAAGTTCCAGAAGTGGCTGGCCACACCGACACAGACAGCCATGATGACAGTCGCCAGGGCACGCCGAAAACTTCCTGGCAACGGATAACGCTCCATCTGAAACTCTTCGCCATTTGGGCCGTGGTCGGTCACTAGCTGTTTCGCTTGGCCAAGGTGCAATGCCCACGCGAAGACGGTCCTCAAGAACATGCCGTGGATGAGGTAGATTGCAAAGCTGACTTTTCCGAGCCACAGAAGAGGTGGACGGCTCAACATCCAACGGGCGTGAGGGGAGATGAGAATACCAAAAACAAGAAGAATTCCGCCCAGAGAGCCGTACATCCGTTCAAGAGCGCTTGTCGCTTCCGAGGGGAAATATTGTGTGGCGAAATCGCGGAGCCATGCCGACCAGGCTGCAGCTTCAGCAAAAGAACTAGGGTACGACATGAAGACCAGAGAAACCAAAATGACAGGTGGTGAAATGTAAGGCGAGTAAGGAGCCAATCTCTTAGGTATATCCGAGAGGCTGAGTTCGCTCAGGGCGATACCCAGAAAGCAGCAGAGAC